GAGGAAAGATGTCATTAGTTAATACAAGTTAGTTGATCATTAGTTTTTACTGTCAGGATTGTTGAAGATGAAAAATGGGAAAAAGAGAACAGCAGCTGGAACTATCAAATGTTCAGGAGACATCAATCTGTTCCTCTCTAGGACAAAAGGTGATCTCCATATCTAACACTAACAGAAACTGATGACATGGTTAAATTTGAGGCAAAAGCCACCTAAAAGGAAAATTTATGTCACTTAGGAAGATGTGAGTTTTAAAAAGTTTTACAATAAATGATCTTTAGAATGAGTATTTTAAAAATCATATGAGAATGGCTCAATATTCATATTGGATGCTAAATCACTAAATAGTTGAATATATGGCAAAATTTGAAGTAGTTATACCTATAGTAATGCTAACAAAGAATCCTTGGGTTAGGAGAGTTGTGGATCATTAATAATGATCAGGGGAGAAAAGTCATTAGGATAACATATTTCTTGTGGAAAAATTAATTGAATTTTGTCCATTATTTCCCAGACACAGCTACTATATTTAAAATTAAATTATATAGGATGTAACACATCTGTGGGGGTTTCTGTAAGCAAATACTTTTTTTGGTATTTTCCAAAACCAACATTTTTTTGGTTTTGGAAAATAAAACTGGAGTGGAAAATGGAACACAGTCATAACAGATACGGGCTGTGTATGTTAGGTTTTCAGTATTGAATTAGAGATATGGAAAGAAGTACATCTAGAGTATTATTTTCTCTCCCTCATTCTTAAATATTTTCACCAGCTTCTGTCTGACTTTAGAAGAAAATAACATTTCCAAAGTAAAATCATTTTTTAATATGAATACAGGCAATTAAAAACATCTGTCATTATCAAGGTCAAGTAGGCTGATCATTCTCTGAGAAAATAGTTCAATCATCACTTGGTTGTACTAGAAGAAAGAAAATAGTCAGTTTCTAAATTCAATTTGGGACAACTTCTAAATTCAGATTTTTTTATTGGCAGATCAAAAACACTGGGGAATTTTTTGGGGTTTTTTTTTTGTCCCTAAGCATATCAAGAGAACCTATGGCATTTTTGTTGGGAGCTTGGTTTTATACCTTACAGCCTCGCAGATTTTTATAGCTTGGATTTATTTGCAAGCAAACACAATAAAAGATTTAAGACAGTAATTTAAATTGGGAGTAACTTCTTTTGAAGGAAGTAAAAATCCCTTTTTTTGGGGTTAACAAAATGACTACAGAATTAAACACAAATAGAACTCAATTTAAAACTTTAAGCTTTTTTCTGTTTGCTTGATCACAAGTGCATTCAGGCTATAAAGGTTTTGCAGAGTAAAGTACAAAATGGCTTTCCCAAGGTACCCTTTGATTTTTTTTTTCCCTGGCCTGGACTATGGACAGAAATCAGTGAGGTTTTTTTAATCCTTTAATAATAACAAAGAGAGGGTTTGATGGATTTCAGAACTGCTTATGAACCTGCTAGAAATCTTGCTCTGTTTCTATAATGAACTCACCAGAGCAGGTACTCTTTGGCGCAAAGAGAGAAATTCCACCTGAATATGGGGAAGAATTTGTTTCCTGTGTGGGTGACCACGCACTGGAACAGATTGCCCAGAGAGGGTGTGGAGAATCCCTCCCTGGAGATGTTCCAGAACCATCTGGACACAATCCTGTGCCATGTGCTCTGGGATGACCCTGCCTGAGCAGGGAGGTGGGGCCAGATGACCACTGTGGATCCTTCCAGCCCGACCCCATCTGGGATTTTGTGGTTTTGGTCAGGTATTCCTGATATTTACCTAAATTTATAAATAAGCCAGTGCAGTCTGAGTTAGAAGGGATCACTAAACGTGATACTGTAATATGAAAGAAGTCATAATCCTTAATTTAAAAAATATTTCTGATATTTCTTCCAGTTTTCCTGATGTTTTCTCTATTTTCCTTTATTCTCTATTCTCCTTTATTTCAGTGCTTGACTCATAAAATCCTGGAAAAGGATTCGTTTCCCCAAAACTTGGGGGTTTTTGCCTATTATGTCAGCTATCTTAATAAAACAGTTTACTTCAAATTCCACCAATTTATGATTTAAAAAGAAATTTTTGCCATGTTAATCCCAGTCTTGTTTTTTGCATTATTACAGCCAAACTGCCACTATGACTCCTTGCTCCTGCTAGGAAGTATTTAGCAAAGTACAACTCTTTCCACTGCAACTCTTGTCTCAAGAAATCCTGTGGTTAAGCAGGCTCTTCACAAGAAATTCAGCTCTGTGCCAATCAAAAGAGAAACCAGCATAAACTCGTCACACGAGCTCCCCACACTCTGCTCTTCTAAGGCTGGGGCTGGTTTAGAACTGTTCTTCATCTGTAGTTTTGAATTATTAGTACGTGGTGGGACAGAGGCTTTCTAACAGTTGGAGTCCTTCATTAGATGGATTGTGTCGTGTCAGAAATCAGGGGAGGGCAGCTGAGAAGTGGAACACCTGATCTGGCTGGAAGAGTGCTCAGCTGAAGCATTTTTGATTGTTTGATGGCATAACAGTGCCACTGCAGATGGAAAATTAGGACAGCAGTGAGGTTTGGAGTGGCCTGTTTGCCTTTCCTCAACAAGGGAAGAGGAAGGGGAAAAATGTAAAGTTGGGGAGAAAAAACCAACAATCAGAACTACGATGTCTACTTGGAATTCAAGTGGCTGCACATCAAATTACCTCTAACAGTCTGACTGCTGATTGCTACTATTCATGAAAAGTGGCTTTATTTCAGCTCTGAAATATCCCAGAGCAGCAGCTCTCCCCTTGAGGTTTCCCATCTGAACGGCTGAAATGTTCTCTTTTTTAATTTTCTCTCTTGACCCTCTCCTCCCCCTCACCTCTTTCAGCATGAATTTATTGACATTCAGAGGGATAGTGAGGAAGTAGTTTTCAGTCCATCTCATACAGCCAAAACACTGCTCAAAGTGCCTTCCTTAAATTTTGGGAGGAATCAGCTGACAGGGGAAGGTTAGTTGGCTGAAGGCAAGTTAACACGACAAAGCTCAAAGGCATAGTGACAATTTTATGTGACTTCTTTTCAGTTAATCACCTCTGGACAGTTAATCACTTCTGGACACCCAGGTCCTGTCAAACTACATTACCTTTGGAGCCTGTCACCTCAGCCTGGTTCCTTTCTTTGTCTGAAACAACTAAAATCAGTTGACCTTCAAGTTGCAGTGATGTTTACCTATTCATTGAGAAGTGAAGAGCTGAATTGCACTTAGGTGTAATCCTGATTGCTTGGACTGATCCTTCAGCCTGCATTTCATTCTCCCTCCTGATTTTTAAGAGATGCTCAGTTTACTGTTACTTGCAATGCTCAGATGAAGTTTTAGTACAGTCCTAGATCAACAAAGATGGGCTTTCAAGTGGACAGTGTAAATTGTAAATAAATGTAAATAAATCCTGCATTAACAGTGTGGCAACCCATACCCCTGTGTTCCACTGCCCTTTAATGTCCCTCTTATGTTGGCCATTGAATCTCATCCAGCTCAATCCCATGGGTATTTTAAATCAGATGTGCTTTGGGGAACTTAGCAGTAGGAATATTAATCACTCCCACATTGCTGACAATACATAATGGTTTGAGTGGGGCATCCTTTGATGCTGTGTGGTGTTAATGATAGCAGTAATGAGCTTTGCAGTTGACCACATCATTTGCCTTGAAGGATCATTTCAGATAACAAAAAACCAGAGGTTTGTTGTGCAAGAACTGGTTGTTCACACATACAAGCACTGTTTTCTTTCCCAATAGAGAAGTTATTTATTGCTAGGAGACTGCAGTTTCTTCTGTCCCAGGGATATGTTGTTGATAATGCTGTGGAAAGCCCCACATTTCCAGACACATATTGTGAATAATCAAAATCTGAGAAATTACTTCATTCTGAGCCAGGTGTAGAATTACAGCAGGGGATATAAATGCAAGTGCCTGTATAATTGTCTGGGTTCATGGGTTCCAAATGTTTTAAGTTCTCTTCTTTTTGCCTGTATTCTTATTTGCATCCTGTCACTGGATTGCCTGGGAGCTGACAGGTAAACTTCCTGTCTAAAATGCTGATTATATGATTAAAATTACTGATATTTTGCTATGCCCTATTTTGTGCTTTCTGACTGTATACTGTGTAACAAACACAAGGGTTTGTACTCAATTATAAGCCAAGCATTAAGTGACAGGTGCCGGCAGGATGTCTGCTCCATAGTTTTTCATTTTTATGTTTCTTGTGTGTTCTTTCCAAGCCTCAAGTAATACAATGTGTTTTCTGAGTAATTGTAATGCTGATTTAGGAATAACTTTAGGGCTCCTCAGAAGTTATCAAAAAATTCTCCACCCACCAGCACTGGCTGATGACTGAGCCTGGTTAATAGATTGTCTCTGATCTCGAGTTGCTACCATATAAGATGGAATACCTGGAATATCATTCAGTAACCTGAACTGGAAAATTAAAGAGAGATTGCAGCTGTGTGATGGGTGAGATGGGAAAGGCTCTTATAGGAATCTTGTTCTGCCCATACTGCTGCAGGAAATGCTCCTGACTCTTCTATAGTAATATGTTTTACAAAACACCCTTAGAAACAATTGGTTTTCCCCATGAATGCTTAGGGGTTAAAATCAATAGGAGCTTACTGTCTAAAATACAGTTTCTATGCCTTGCTCTGGAAAGTGGAAAGGCCAGACTTTGTATCAGATTAAGATGAGTTACGGTAGATTGAGGCTTAAGTGTTTTTCCATCAGAATATAAATATTAAAGATAGACAATTTTACCTTGTCTCTGTATGATTTAATTTTTATTTTCCTGATTCCATTTTAAGCTGAATTCTAGTAATTCTTGTTCTTTCACCAGCACTCTGATTTAGCCCAGAGAATACTGAGAATGTAACATGTTTCTGTGTCTGCTAAAAGCCCAGATTTCATGTGGGGTACTTTTTTATTTGTTTTCTTTGCTAGAACATGGACATTCATATTTGTGACCTTCTTGTTTTCCAGCACCTCCCAGATGGCTCTGCCCCAAGTGCACATGCTGAATTTTATCTTCTGCCAGACCCTTGCGAGGTCAGTCGAAGGAAAACAAGAACAGCTCCAAAAGGTTCTGACCCTACTTACAATGAACTTGTGAGTACCATCCACATTCTTCCACCCTTTCTTGCTTCACAGAATCACGGAATGGCTCAGGCTGGAAGGGCCCACAGTGGGCATTTGGTGCCACCTCCCCACTCCAGCAGGGTCATTCCAGAGCACATGGCACAGCAGTGTGTCCAGATGGGATATCTCAGTGAGGGAGACTCCACGCCCACTCTGGACAATCTGCACAATCACTGCACAAGGAAGTTTTTCCTCACATTCGGGTGAAACTTCCTGGGCCTGAGGTTCTCCTGTTGCTTCTTGTCCCATTTCTGAGCCCCGTAGAGCAGAGCCTGGTGCATCCCCTGAGCTCTTCCTGTGGGAAGATCTCTCAGCTGTCTCTTTTCCAGGGTGAGCAGGCCCAGCTCACTCAGCTTCCTCTCATGAGAGAGATGCTCCAGTCCCCCACCATCTCCTCAGCCTTTCACTGGACTCACTCCAGCAGTTCCCTGCTTTCCTGGGTCTGTCAAGCCCAGAACTGGACACAGCATTCCAGATGTGCCTCCCTGGGGCTGAGTAGAGGCAGGATCACCTCCCTCAACCTGCTGTCAGTGCTTTTCTTAATGCACCCCAGGAGCCCTTTTTGGCCATGAGGCTGCTGGCTCATGCACAGCTGTTGTCCACCAGGACCCCCAGCTCCTTCTCTGCAGAGCTGCTTCCCAGCAGGCCACCCACAACCCAAACAGGTACAACTTCTTTTATTTGCTTTGCCCACTCTTGAAATAAAACAACAATACAGCATTTTTAGAGCTGTTGCAATGAGGATGACCAGAAAGGAGGAATGTATCATAAGCTGAACCAGAAAAGGGGACAACTGTCTGTTTTGCATTTCTCAGAAGTGAAGCATCTTTTATGTCTCTGTCTTCAGAAAAGCAGTTGGATTTTTCACAGTGCTCTGTCTTACCCTATAACCAGAGTTACATGTTAGCCAAATGAGGCCAAGCATCATTGCACCATAACCCAGCAGTTCTGAATGCAGATATGCACAATAGCATGAAAAGTATTAATTTAATGGATCCTGTTATTCAAATTAACATTTGAAAATTGGTTGTCACTGTCCTAAATGATAACACAAGAATAAATAGCCAGGCTCTTTTTATGTTAAAATGCCATCAGTTCACAGTATATATGATTATTTCACACACCACTGAAGTGCTCATGCCTCTGGGGTGAAAGAAAACATTTATATGGAGAAACATTTATGGCAGAATGGGAAGTGGTATAAACTGTGTTCATTTGTAAAGGCAGATGAGATTGAAACAGTAGGTGGGATTGGAGATTATAATTATTACATGTAACAAATCTCCTAAAGATCTCAAAGTAATTTACAAATGCTCTTTCAGCAGGCTGTAAAGTAGAAGGCATGGAAAATATTACCACTCCACCCTGTTTCATAGATAAGACATGATAAAGCTTAGGTTAGTCAGCAGACTCTGAGTGCTTATCTCTTAGTTTCTCACTCCTGGAGTTCTAATATTTCCCTTTTCCCGCATCTGTTAATTACAAAAGTTGTCTGCTTACACTGATGACTTCCAGCTTCTGTAAGAAAGCTCCTGGAGTAGTATTGCTGCTCACAGCTGAGGCAAATTTCCCTCCCCACAGTACTACAGTGGAATAACAAGGAAGTAGACTTTTTTTTTTTTTTCTTTCCTTCTTTTTTTGCTATCAGGGAGGAATGATTCTAAATAATCTGTCTAAATAAATTCCTTTACATTTGAAGGCTATTTAAAGCAAAGGAAGATAATGTGATTATATCATAACATTCATTGTAAGGTATCCAAAATGGACAATAGATAAGAGCCAGCCAGCAACATTGGAAGACAATTATCGTTCAAATTGTTCTTAGATTCCTTTGAATGCAATGAAATCCAAAATCCTGTCTGCAGTCAGTCAGTAGTCACTGGGAGAAAATTTAATTGTGGTTCACGAGTATTCCAGTGCCATTAAAAGAAATTCTGTGACAACTTTAATGTCCTTAATCAAAACTGAGAGCCTTCTTCCCAGATGCTCAGACTTTTTCACTGGGAAGTGCTAATCACAGTGGGGACATATGGTTCCATTGAACTTGGCCATTTCCAACCCGATGCCTGTGCTTTAGCTGCTCTGCTCCTCCATATGTGATGTCATTCTGGATGCATTTTTTGTCCAAGGCTGGTAGACTGAGGCAGAAGCCGCCCCAGGGAAGAAAAACTACTAAAAATATAAATCAGCTGTCTCTTAAGTTAGTTACTGTCCAAAACACTGCGTACAGAAATGTAGTAGCTTTTTTTATGAGTTCATAAGTTTTTATTAAAGCCAAATGGCTAGAAGGAATCTGTGTATTAATTTCCTTCTTTGTTCCAGACTGAGAAAAATCTGAAATGTGCTTCTCCTGGGTATTTTTGATTTTAGTTTTGTACTTCTATTGCTTATGACTGCCTACAGCAAATTATCAACCTTGCAAAGCTGCTTTTTATGTTTGTTTTTTACTCCTGTGTGAGAGTAAAGATGCGAAAGTCCAAGAGGGCTGAAAATAAAATGAGTTACAGCAAATGTTTTGGAGTGGCTTTTAGCAAACAAATCCTTCTTTTTCTCCTGTGCCTGCATCTGGATTTTGGAATTTGTGGCATTCACGGTAGTTAATGTTATATTGCATTAAGAAGTGGTGGTGGAGAAGAAGAGTAACACAGAGAAATGGAATACAAAGAGAAAATGAAGGCAGCCCCAGCCAGTCTGATGGAAGGGGAGGAGGGGAACTGCACCAGGGACCCTCCAGCACCATGCATCAAAGCTACCTTGCATTAATTACCAAATCTAGGAACTGTGCCATGGCTACCTAAGGAGAAGCAACTGTCCCTCATTTGTGATTAAAATGTCATTAGACTCCTGTAGGTCAACAGTGCTTCTGTTTTTGGAGCCAGGAATAGTTGAATTCCAGCCCTAACTGTCCCACTGATTTGCTGCATGGCTACATATAACTCACCTCCATCTGATCTATCTGTGTCAAAGGCTGGCCAATATTCTCAGTGCACAATAATTTCAGGATTTAACCATTCCCAAATTCTGGCAGGCAGCAGAATTTGTTTTATCGACACCCTAATTCAGCCTTCTCCAGACCTTTCTTCTGCCCCTACATCCTGATAATAATGTATACCTTACTCCAGCTGAATTTGCAAAACCATTTTAGAAACAGCTTACTGGGATCATTTGAAAACCACCCACCCTGTACTGTAAAAGTCTGTCATTGTTCAAAGATAAAAGCCTATTTTTGGTCAAAGACTGAAAGCTGTTCCTTACCCCAGTTGAGTTTCTTAGAATTTACAGCTTATATGTGTAGTTTTTGGTGATTTAAAGCAACAGCTGGTACCTTAAATGTATTGGCAAAGAAACAAGGCAGCTTCCTTTGGTAACATTAGCATTGCCTCAGTGTCAGATCACAGATTTATTCTAAATCATATTATGCTTACTGTGTCCTTGCTTTTTAGATTTTCTTCATCATCTCACTTTTATTTTGGTGAGTGAAAGAGAAACTGTGAAATTTGTAATTCACAGACAATTTGGCAAAATAGGCACAATAAACATGAAAACCAAAAAGCACTAGGTGCAAATTTCATGACAGCCATCCCAAACTATTATTTCCAAAGGTTTCTAAATGGAAAAGAAAATGTTAAACCCCTGGTAAGACCTATCTTGGTCTTGTTGGTGCTTTTGTGAGGGTTGCCTGGTGTCCTGTGCATTCCGTGCCCCCTGTGAAATTCCTGCAGTTGCAACTGGAAGTACAGAGAGGGGTCATGTGGCAAGCTCATTTCTCTCCCTCTCAGGATTTTTCATAGAGGTGCACAGAGAGAAATGAAAGAGAAAACAATTTCTATTTCTGCTCCTTGTTTTTCCCATGTGGAATGTGTTTGGAGAATTTTTTACCTGGGGTGAGTGCTTGATTTGATTCAGGTGAGGATTGTTTGAGCCTGATGGCAAATCCAACCCACCTGGGGCTGGACTCTCCAGAGAGGGTCATGAGTTGTGTTAGAGTCAGAGAAAGTAGTAGGTAGTATAGTATATTAATGTATTTTAGCATAGTTATAATAAAGAAATAATTCGGCCTTCTGAATTGAGTCAGATATCAGCATTTCTTCCCATTGGGTTTGCCTGCATTTACAATAGGGTCATCAGTCCAACCCACAGAGATCCAAGCTAGAGGGGCTCAGTCTGCCTTTCCTGCTCCTCAGCAGTGCTTTAGGTACAGATTCCATGGAAAATCCAAGCAGGAAAATGCCTTTTAGGCAGCTTCAGTTTCCCATTCTCCTGAAGTGAGAGAATGTCACCACGTTTGCTTTTCAAACAGCATAGAGAGATTAAAATTTAAAGCATTTTTTCCAGTGTAACTAAAATTGCAAGAACATTTCCAGCCATACAAATTTTAGATTTAAATGGACTTCTCTTAAGTAGGCTTACCTTTCAGACCCGCACTGAGAGCAATCCCTCACATTTTATCAGCTCACAGGCAGTTCACTCAGCAGTTTTGGATTGATGCAGAGACTGAAGCATGGGAATCTGTTCTGAGTGCAGCTGACTCTTATTAGGCTATTGCTCCAGATTGTTTAGGGTTTTTTTTAAATTCAAAAAGTACACCATTATAATTTCATACTTAACCCTGTGTGCTCTCACAGTAATAAGGTAATTTAAAAGCTATTTTAAATCTATAGGCATTAGTAATTTTTTAAGAGATGCTAAACTACTGTCTCATTTATTTTGAGAAGTATCAACAGCACTTCTGGGGTATCAGAAACATCTAAATGTAGTAATTTCCATTTGCTAAAGTGGGTCCAATCTTTTCCAGTTTTCACAGGGAAAATTATGAATACTGATTTTTTTTTTTCTCTCAAGCATTGTTCAAGACAGGTTCCAGATTTATTTTAAAATATATACTATTATCATATATAAAATATATTATATAGTATATATAACATATATATGCTATATAAAATTATATGTATTTGTTAAATAGTAGAGGTATCATATATATTATATATATTATATGTATCTAATAGTTATATAATATATGTAATTGTATGTAGTATGTTATTATATAGTATATAATAATACTATAAAATTTAATGCTTTGAAATAATAATAATAATATTTATTTTAAAATAATCAGATCTTACGAGCCTAAGCTTGTAGAATCTCTTTATACAAACTAGATAAGGTCAAATGTATTTCTGAGGTAAATTTACTTTGTTAAGTGAATTTGGCTCATGGTTAATAACTTACTATTCTGGATGGAAGTTTAAAGCAATTATCACAAAGCTGGATTAATCATCATCCTGAATGCTGCATTGAAGTGCTTTGCCTGTCAAATAGATTAACAAAGTTGTATGTTTCTTTCTGTTTCACTATATATGATTTCAGATTGTCTATGACAGAGTCTCAGAGCTCCAAGGCCGTGTACTGAAGCTTGTTGTGAAAAGCAAAGGAACATTTGTGGGAGCTGTTAACATTCAACTGAGCAGTGTCCAGTTAAATGAAGAAAAGTGGTACCCACTGGGAAACAGTGTAATTTAAATGTTCTCCAAGATGATTCAATTATTTGCACTAATGTTTCTCTATCCCTTTTCCCACAGTACGTTTTGTCTCAGTTGCCCTTGAGAATAGGCAGTCATCTGCTGAGCACATATCCTGACATTTCTAACCATAAGGTTATTGTCTTAAAAGTGCTACCATCTTCCTGCCACAGATTCCTGACAGTGTGAGGTTAAAGAATCACATGCTAAGGACTTGTGGCAACACACAGAAAATTCTTATGACAGCAATGAAGGGTTTAATTTTGTTAATATTAAATAGTGCTGTAAAAATACTGAATTCTGTACACATCAGTGTGTGGGGACTCATTCTTCGCCCATTAATTTCACTGACTGTGTTGGAACAATGCTGATATTGGTGTGATTTATCATCACTGTATTATGTTGAGGTCCCCAGAAAACCATGGAATGGTTCCCTGCCAATATATTTCAGATGTCCAGCAAATTTCACATTAAATCTTACCCAATCAATACTTTGTTTTTTTAAGAACTTTAAAAGTTTTGATGCAATCTAACATTTAATCCAGGATATCCATTTGTCAATGATCTATGTCATTGTTTCTTTTATTCTGACATCCAAGAGGCAGATATAACTGATCATTGGTGTGAAGAAAGAAAGGAAAAGGTAATGTTCATGAATAAAGAGAATATATTGAATGTGTGCTTTCAGTGGGGGATTTATTTAAGATCATGATACCACAGATATTTGTTCAGCAGTCTTCCCACATGCTGCATAAGGGGTTCAAGTCAATACATGCTTTGAACAGACCTCAGAGCTATAAAATATATGTTTATAAAGTAAATAATGAACATTAGTGGTTCCTCTAACTTCACAGATGCTAATTATGGGCTCTGTTTTCCTCTAATTTGAGGAAGCACTTAAGCACAGCTTTAAGAATTTGGCATGTGAGCAGCCACAGTGAACTGTCCATTATTGCCAGACCCACTGACCATGTAAATAAACCTTTCCAGGGCCAGGGGCACATTTTTAAGGCACAGGAGATGTGTTGATTTGTGATCTGATCTGCTGTAAATTTTAAGTTGCCATATACTGGACAGACCTGACATTTGTCCTACCAGGTGGAAAAGTGGTCAACAGAGGTGTAATAATCCCAGAAGTGAAGGTAATTGCCTTCTTCTCCCAAAGGACACTCACATCTGTCTTCAGAATATAAAGCTCTATAAAGCTTCTGAAGTGGGACTTGGAGTGTTAGTAAGGAAATTAAATAAGCTGGAATTTTTCTCAGCATCAAACCAATGGACTTGTTCAGGTTTTATCTGAAACTTCTTTCCCCAGTCAAACTGGTGTACAAAGATCCTCCTCAGTAAGGGGAGGTGAGGAAAACTCTGAATATTAATATTATTAGTCTATTCAGAGCTGTAAGAAACTGTAACATATTTACCACATGCAAGGGACAATGACTGGCACACAGAATATCATCACTACAAAGATTAGGACACCAAAATTTTATGCTATAGGCTCTCCTGAGAAACAAATAAAGTGCCTTGTCATTCAAGCACAGAAAACACACTGAGACCAGCTTACAAAGTTATCAAATTACCTGACCTTACAGTTCAATATTGATTTTAGATTATTCTCAGTCTGCTGTCTAAGTTTCCTTATTAAAACTATAATGCAATTTTCTAACTGTTATTTCCTGTGACATTTTCTAACTGTTGTTTACCACATGCCCTGATTTTCCATCTTAGAGCAACATTAAATAAAACAGCATTAGAATAGCAATAAATAAAAAGAGCATTACAATGTATTATCAGAACTGTCTGCAAGCTTAAGCAACAGTGTTTGATATTAAAGAAACTTGTCAATATAACATCCTTTTTATTAAAAAAAAAAAATATTTGGGTAACAAATCTGCCATTAGTTGTGTAACTGTAGTCCTGTGGAAGGCCAATACTTCAGTTCTGAAAGGAAAATGGGAAAATTGTGTCTTATGGGCATGTTCTACACTGATAGATCTGGTAGGCAAGAAGTTGTCCTCATAGATCTTCACACACATAATCAGCCCTGGCTTTTTCTAAAATTCTCTAGTTTTCCTCAGAATACTCTGTTTCCTGCTTCCTGAGTTCCCTGCTCCTATGAGGAACATGGTTCTTTACAAATCAGCCCATGAATTTATCTTGCTTTAGCAGTAGGAGGTTCAAGCTATGGAAAGGTACCAATATAGCATATTATTTTTTATGATTTTAAGAAATACTGGTGTTTTTTTTTTCTTTCCTCAAAAGTTTGTTTTTTTTTTTTTCAGGTAAGAGAATGACAGTGGGCACTAAAGTGGAATAGCCCAATCAGAACTCACTTTTTACAAATGTAAAGGTTACATTGTGTGGGCAATTTTTCCTGTTTGCTTGAAAAGGTACAATGGTAATAAATTTTATTCAATACAAATAAAAATGTCAATTTCACATCCTCATAGCCTAAAAATTAGCATGATCTCTCATATATATTGGACTAATATTCTCACTTAATATTAGTTTTTTCAATATTTTTCAAATATTGAAATTTGCTCCAAGTGACATTAACTGAATTTTAAAAATAACCAAAAACATTCAGTAATTATGAATTGTTTCTAAATTATCAGAGAATAATATAATCACAGAATGGCTTGGGTTGGAAGGGATCCTAAAGATCATTTCATTCCAACCCCCTGCCATGACCAGAAACACTTTGTAGGCTGCTTACAGCCCCATCCAACTGGCCTTGGACACTTCCAAGGATGAGGAGTCCGCAACTTCTCTGGAAACTTGTGCCAGGGCCTCACCACCCTCACAGTAAAGAATTTCTTCCTCATACTCAATTAGGCTTACCTTCTTTCAGTTTAAAACCATCCACCCTTGTCCAGTTACTACATGTCCTTCTACTGGAAGGTTCTGTAAGGTCTCTCTGGATTCTTTTTCTTCTCTAGGCTGAACAGCTCCAATTCTCTCAACCTTTGCTCACAGCAGAGGTGCTTCACACCTCTGATCATTTTCATCATCCTGCTCTGGACTCACTCCCAAAGATAGCACCTTTCTTGTGTCGGGGGCCCCAGAGGGTAAAATCACCTCCTTTTTGATAGCAAATGTGGTCTACATTTCCCCTTTTTCAATCAGTGGGAACTTCCCTGGCCTGCCATGACTTCTCAAATATGATGGATAGCAGATTAGGCCAGTTCCCTCAGGACCTGTGGATGTATCTCATCAGGTCCCATGGATTTGTGTGTGAGAAATGGATTTGTAAAGGATTCTCAAAATCTTTGAAAGATCACACAGCCTTGTACATGTGTATGCAAACTCTGAGATAAGGTGCGCTGACTTAGGAAGGCCATGGAATAGAGATGACATTGTTGAGAGAGAGATTTAACTTGTAACAAGTTTCAAAAGATGGCCTTGCAAAACCACCAGGTATTTTTGAGAATTAGAACAGTGAAAGATGCATTGCAGCTGGACCACATGGGGTAAAACAACAGGTGATTGGTGTTAGAAGTGTTAGCAGCATTGTTTGGCAAAGCTAATAGGCTGAAAAACATTTATAAGGTATTGTAACCAGGAAATAGAGTGACTTTTGATGGAATGGTGTTGAGTTTTACATCTTTTATGTCTCACCCTTCTACAAGACTGATAAAGGAGTAAAATCTTTTAAAACACCTCTCAGCCCATCTCTGTAGAGCTGGGATTTTCCAACACTTGTGCATTTCAAAGCTCCTTAGGTTTTCTCAAACCCACTCTTCTCTTTCAGAAAAATAGCAGCAGGGCCAAGGACAGTAGCCCTCATTCAGGATACCCCTTCCATAAAAGTCCCACTGGTTTAATAAAATAATTGAGAATATGCCAGTCTGGGAATCAGGCCACTGGGCTGCTGCAAAGCCAGAAATGCTACTTTATTGAAGCAGGGGACAATCCCCCAGAACAATTTCTTTTGCAGAACATCACTAATAGTACCAGACATGAGCAAACAGCGATGCAGATTCCAGCTTGATGCCATCTTTGGATATCAGTGGGATGTTACGGTAACCTGGAAATACAATGATTTCCCCTTATTAGTGTATTAACCACAGGCACAGATGTTATAATGGGGTGGTTTTATGATCATCTATGCAAATAGGGAATAATTTGTGATTTTGTAAATAGCTCTTTAAAATGAAATTATACAGGACCTAAAAACCATTTGTGCCGATTTCTCTCATATATATGGGAGAATATATATATTTATATGTAAATATTATATATATATTAAAAATACATATATAATTTAAATATATAATAATTTTAATATATAATATTTAAATGGGAAATATATAATATTTAAATTCTGGTATTTTTAGTGACAGAGTGAAAAACTCGTGTTTTTCAGGATGTGATATTTTTTCAAATGGAAGAGTTTTAGCCTAGTGATATTTAAACATGGGCAAAGCTTACAATATAACATCCAGGGTTAGGTGTTGCATGCATTGTTCTGATAGCAAATGAAATCAGCATGTGAAACAGCATTGATGGCAGCTACAGAATGGTGTTGCAGCAGCCATGCACTGTCCAGCTGAGGCAGAAAAATGTGAAGTGTAACATCTTCTGCCATGGCATCTTAAGAAGTTGATTTCTTATGAGTAATTTACTTTCTTAGAGGTAAGTCATGCCATTAGAAACTACGTGTTCATCTGGCTGCTTGAAACATTTGGAGAAGCTTAAAACATAATTGATTTACCTGCTCAGAAAACAAAACAATCTCTTCTTCAAAACCCCAGCCTGTATGGCTTTATATGACTAAATGTCCATTATTTCATAATACTAAACAATGTCACTTTTGATTTAAAAATATTCTGTGTTCTATCTATGTATATATAACTCCAGCTATTTAAATAAGTCTCTGTTTTGTATCAATATCTGTGTTTTCAAAACTGAAGTTTTCAAAATCCCTATTTAGATCCAGCTGGATATCTGTGGAATGTTTGGGACTCACATTTATCTAGGTTTGGAATTTCTTGCTTCTTTTATAGAGAATCATAAAATTGTTTAGGTTTGAAAAGGCCTCTAAGATGAAGTCCAGCCTTTGACTGATCACCATCTTGTGAACCAGAGTGTGGCACTAAGTGCCATGTCCAGTTTTTCTTGAACACCTTCAGGGATGGTGATTCCACCTCCTCTCTGAGCAGCCCTTTCTAGTGCTGGGCAACCCTTAGAGTGACAAAATCCTCCCTGATGTCCAGCAGAACCTTTCCTGGCACAGCTTGAGGCCATTTCCCCCTCTTCTCTTATATTACACATAAGTTCCTCTGGTATTTAAGGTTTAGATTCTGGGCAGCAGATATTAAAGCTGGTTTCAGACACTTTACATTTGAGATCAGTTTTTAAGGCATGCACACAATATGTGGAAGGCTTGGTTGATTCCCTATCCAAAGATAGACTCCAGGTACTAAGATTAATTTCTGAAGACTTGTGTTCTAGCCCCTACCTACAGAATATTCTACAAAGTGTCTTGAGAGAAGTAAAACTTTTTTTTTTTAATTGAAATTGCTCCAATTTGCATTAAATAATTAAGTACTTATGGATCCCATGGTAATAGAGGTAGTAATTGATTCCCTGTCCTGTATTAGTATTCTCCATGGCAGATTCATTGGCATAGGAAATGTAACAGAGGATCCCCCTCCTATTTGTCTTTAATGATCCAGGTAGAGAATTTTGCTCAATTTCAGCCCCTCTGAATATAGCTACATAATCACTACATGGAAAATCAAATTCTGCTACAGCTGGGCAGTAAGCATCCCTCCCCAGTGGAGTCTACAAGTAGTTGGGAGTCTGATGCTAGGAAAAGGAAGGCAGTGTGGATATAGATTTGAATCCTTTCAAAAGAAAATGCAAACAAGGGAGGAAATGGCACAACTTTTTCCCACTGCCTGACAAAGAAAATAATAAGATGTAAGCACTGCTCAGTCTTTGGAAGCAACTTGCCCTCAGGGCCCCCTCAGGGATACATATCCTAGGGTCTGAGGGACAGTCCTGTAGCACAGATTAAAGCAATCGGAATGCTGAAGACTAAGACTGAATTTTTAGGCAATTCTTCCCTTGTCTTCTCCTTTTTGTGACTCCCTCTGGAAGAACATTATTTTCCATTTCACTGTTTAGAGAGCCTGGGTACCTAAATCAAAACCATTGTTCCAGACCTGGTTTCAGAGGACTCAGTGGTAAGCATTGCAATAAATACTTGCAATAATGCTGGATATCCTGATGGCAAATTACTTTTTTTTTAATGTTGTGTTAAGTGGGGATTGGGGCAATTTGTTTGGCATCAATTATAGTTTTTGTACCTAAACTCATTCTCTAGCATTTTGAATTACTCCACTGAAAATATTTCCTCAAAAATTTTCTGCTCTTACTTTTCCAAAATATGAATCCCTCATTTATGACCAAAATTAATCCTATAGAGACATTAAGCCACACTGAAAATTTGTATCTAAAAAGCTTCAATTAATAATTTTACAAGCACTTGTAAGCAGCAGTGCCTGATATTTGAATTTGTCTCAGACATTGTGAGTTGGTGGGTTGAGTTTTCTTTCATTATCCAGAAGTATACAAATAAAAGGAAAGTAAAAGGTTATCAGTGTAAAAATTTATGTTGTAGAAAAACAACTGAGCTCTAAGAGTAATGTCTTTGTTCTTGTATAACTCCTCAACCTCAACTAAGAATCACAAGCAGCTTTATGACTTCCAAACATGAGGGGAAAGAAAAGCCATTTAAAATCCTGTTAAGCTTAATAAAATAGCGCAGTGCCTGTTGCCAGCTCCAATGTTTTGCCTTCCCATCTTTATTCACTAATAAAAGCTGTTTGTTTTGTCAGAAATAGCTTTGGAAAGCCAGTGTAGTAAGCAGCCATTTTACATAAGCCTTTCTCCTTGGCCTCTTGACTTCTGTGTCTGCTCTTTATGTGCAGCCTATTCATTACAAAGGTTCCAGGAACTCTACTGGCTTAACGAAAGAAACTCCAGCAAGAAAAATGCCATATTTCATCTAATTTATAACCATTGCTCTCCACTCTGAAAAGTTGCAAATAGGTTACCTGAGTGAGTTTTGGTTTTTTTGGTTGTTTTTTTTGGGGTTTTTTTGGTTTTTTTTTTTTTTTTTTTCTGGGTTTTGAACTTCTCTGAGTAGAAAGTGCACAAAACTGTAGCCTTTGTAGCAGTTCTGACTAGTTTCACTTCTTGCTATGAATTAAAATACCACCTGAGCAGTTTCCATCTAGAATGGAATACTGCAGTGGGAATAATCACCTGTCATTAATATTGCTTTGATTTCAACATCATGGATTTGCATTCAGAGAATACAATTATTTCAAAAAGCAGAGAGTGCCATGTATTCATGTAGTTACACAATCACCCTCTAGAAAACAGACATGACGCTGTACTCTCTCAGTGCTACAGTAACCATAAATACCTGGAATGT